CACAGTACTTCCGATGATAGTACTACATATCGATCCAGCGATGAAATAGCCTATTGGAATCATTACATGCCGATTATTAGATATCACAATTACTTGGAGTCGATTGGTTTGTGGTGTGAACGACGAGATACAGAGTTAAAGAAACACGTAAAAAATTCCGTTTTGCTTGCTTTTGCGGAAGCAGAAAAGGAACGCAAAGCATGCTGGAAAGAGCTATTTACAGATGTATATCGTACAATGCCAAAGCATATAAGGTTCGTTTATTTTTTCATTGGAACGGCAATACGTCGTTCTTTGAAATATTTTACAAGTGAATATTTCAAATTTCTTTCATTGCGAATGTATTTTTTAAATTTCAGTAAACAAATGTACTCTATGGAGAAACATGTTGGGGAATTTCACAAACGTTATCCCTTGCACTCTTTCGAACAAGCTACTCGGTAATAGCGAATTTAACAAATAAATTCAACGAAATAACGATAGCAATCTAAATTAATTATTTTTATAACTTTTTATCGATATTATATATTTTTTATATCGTTTGATAATAAAATATTAAAATATGCGTTCTAAAAATTCATGTTGGCAGCTATTTCTTTATACTTGTCCATCCTGTATTCTTTCCTAGCTGCATCCAGTAATATATTGTGAAGTAAATTATGCTGATGTGGGTTGGATTGTTCTACGGCGGGATATACATTTCCTACAATTACGAATATACGTTGATCGATTTAAGAGTTGTAAATCTCCTTTAAATTCACGAATGATCCGTCGTCATAAACACACCTCTCAATTCCAAGACGGCTCTTTTGTATGCGTGTCCGGGATATATACACGGTGCATTATGAAGCTTTGTAAATGAAGTTGTATAATTTTCATATCTTGGTACGAGTACTTTGAAAAGTTTATGGACAAGTTGTTTTTCGTTTATCCAGAAATTTGCCAATTCCATTGTTTCTCCGTGTTCGGGACCATGACGTAAGGCTTCCGATATTAACTATAGCGCAGAGAAAATATTATAAAACATTACACGCATGATATAATGCAATGCTTATCGAGAATAGTTTTTTTACGATACTCACTCGTTCAACGTAACCTCTTGTTTCATCCGCTCTTGCGTAATTTAGCTCAATCCTCTCGTATTTAATTACAGCTGTTAACGTTTTTTTAATTTTTCGCAATCTTCCTTCTGGGCCGTCTACATTTTTTAATTTGCGTGGTTTCGATCCGACATTGTACCTTAACCTAGAAACTAATTTTTCAACCTTTGCCTGATTCATTTTTGTTAATTGCGTTGAAAACGTTTAGTTTTACACTTTTTGTGCGTAATTTTTTAAAATTAACGTATCGCTTGTTACTCGAAAGACTATCCGTACAATTTTCGTTTGATCAATTTAACGAAAGTTTTTATCCTGCCATTGAAAAACAGACGTCGATACTTTGACTCGAAGCATTCGTTTACGTTAGGCCGCAGTCGTAGTGGTGTCGCTGTTAATCAAGACTTTACTTTGTAAAAAAAGAATTGGAATAGATTTAAAATTCACGATACGTATGTTGCAAACCAGGGAAACGAGAAAAAGGAGATTCAAAAACTTGTTAGATTATTTATGAAATAATTTTCGAATAAACATCTTTTTGCTTTTTATATACCGGAATAATTTTACTTTTTATATAATGGAACAATTTCACAATAATTCGTTAAATAATAAACATAATTAACATACCATAACGCGTAAATCAGTTTCAAGTGAAGAAAAATAAGCATAAGAATAAAGAAAACTTTTTTGAAATCGTTAATATTCATCTACATTTACGTATACGTTGTTGTATACGTATAAAACAGAATTTATACATACAAACAAATATGTAAAAGTTGATTTTGTAATATAGCAATAATACGGACGAGCAATGTCTGAGAAATATGTAATTTAAAGATATAAATATAAATAATAAAATAAAATTATCACGTTTTTAAGATTCAAAGTATTATTAAATTTGACATTAGGCTTAAAATTAGTAAACTTGACAAAAATTTTTACAAAAAATACAAAATGACAAGAAAAAAATAACAAGAATAACGGAGTAATAAAATTTTGGACGGTCGGGAGTCGTTTTAAACGATTCAACCGTTTCACTTCTATCGTATTTCTTACATTATGCACGATGCATAATGCGCAGTTAATTCAAACTGATGACTCGGTATACCGCCGTAAGTGATAAAAAGGGGTCACAAACGCGAGATTACCAATTTCAATCGACTTATTTTCGACGAGTCCGAAACAAATAAAAATAAAAGGATGCGATGTTCGTTACTAAATTTAATTAATTTGAACTTTTATCTTTCGAAGGAGAATGTTCGAACAACGTTCGAAATACTTGGTACGAGTTACACGTACGCATCGTTATTTTCACTCGTATTTTTAAATAAAAATATTTGTGGAAAATGTCAGGGCATATTTTTTGTATGTATATCGGCACGTATCGTTTCATTGCACGTTTATTAATGTAAAAGATATACATTTCACTTGAATTACAATGTAATTTGTGAACGTCGGTGGCGTGCCACCGCAAACACTAAATTCAAAACATGATGACAATATAGCGATTATATTTTTCCTTCTTTTGATTTTGTTGTACGAATATCATATGTCATATATACCACGGTGTTACACATCAATGTATTTTTGTTATGATTTAAAAAGTCGCACTACCCGCACTACGTACTGTTTGCACATTGGACATTCCGACATTTGTTTACCACAATTCAAACAACAAGCCATATGGCCACATTCCAAAATCACACATTCAATTGGTTCGTCCCAGCAAATTTTGCAAAGATTTTCGTCCAGATTTTCCATTTCTATCGATAACAAAGCGTAAAAGTTAAACACGTTTCCATTCGTATAAAGTCGAATCAGAAGAAAAAAAAGAACAGAATCGTATATCTTACTTGTTCTTCTTGACTGTACGTATTCTTCCCATAATCTGGAAGCTCTGTTCAATAATTCATATCTTTCCAAGCAACCTTTGTAATCGACTCGATTCGTACTTAGCAAATTCTTCAGTTGTTTCACGCTTAAACGTTCCAGTTCCGATAATGCATTTATATCGGATAATTTTACAGGATTCTACAGAGAATCAGAAAGAGAAAAAGAAAAAGAAACAGACGAGGTACAATATGTATGAGGTACAACGTGTACGTTTGTTGTGAGAAAATAATAGTGTTTCGCAATTACATACCGTAGAAGTTTCTACAAGTATATCGGAATGTTGAATATTAGAAATATTTGAAATCATCTTTTCATCCGAACGTATAGGATCTGCTCTTTCATCCGAACAAAGATCAATTGTAGAAACTGTCTCTGGAATTTCATCGTCACTGCCAACTCTTGTAGTATTAATTTCTCGCACGCGATTTAAAATTTGCGCACTTTGTTCGTAATTTGTAGCTGACTGATTAGAAGGAGAATAATCACTGAAATCAAATGATTTGGTAAATACTCGTTATTGTTTTCTTGTTAAAAGTTGATGGGTGATATCGGAGAAATCTATTCAAAAAGAGAAAACTATTGCATCAATGTTTGCAACAAATGTAATTTATATTACACGTTTTGAATTTAAAGTCGACAGAATAGTTTTGACATTTTTTTGCTTTGTGCAAAAGTCACTTTCTGCTATAATGTGTGTGTGTGTGTGTGTGTGTGCGCGCAAAATGAAACTTACACGTTTGTTGCATCTTCTGTATCCCGATAAACATTGGTACCATTAGCAAATGCTATCAACAATTTTATTAAATCTTCCTTTTCTACGATCAGAGGAAAAGGAGAAAATAATAAGAACATCAATCAAAGATTTTGTCAGATGAATATCCTTGATGTAGTATACATACCGATACATCCGTCGATGGATATTTTCTTTGCTAACAGATATTGCCGTATATCTTTGGAACGCATTTGTGCAATTAAACTTCGTGTTAAAGGTCTTCGAGATAACATGTTGCAAGTGTCACAGTTCAATATCTTGTCTAATCGCTTGATCACACATTCGGAACAAAAATGTCTTAAACAATCGACGCATTGTTTCTAAAAGAATTTGCATAGTATGATAAATGAACAAAGTGTTTATTCTCAAGCATTGTCAGAGACAATGAAGTCAAAAAATAAAAAATTACGAATAATGCAACGATTGTTACCTTGCGTGTGAAGAAGCTGAATTTTGCGTTACAAGCTTCGCAAGCCATACTACCTTGCTAGAAGAATAACAAAATAATAAGAATACGATTGAAAATTTAGAGGTTAAGTTTACACTTGCGGGTGGACCGAGTAAAATGGCTGTGTAAATAAATAAATATACGCACGTACAAGCACAATTGGAGTGAATATTTTCAAACGTTATATTATTTCTACATACTGGATTGGTAGAAAAATATATTTAAAGAGTTTAAAGAGTAAAATCAAAATACACCAGACGACGCGTTTCTATCTTGCGTAACGTGTTTAAAAACGAATCCACAATTCGACAGATTCGTTACAAATTCACATACACGTACACGTTATACACGTACACGTTAAAACTGGGGGAAAATTTTCACAAGATTGTGATCAAAGATGGCGATAAAAATGGAAACGTAATAAACATTTCATTAGCGATAGCGATACGTGGTGGTGGTAGATTGCTGAAATACGTAAGTGCGTAATGTTCATGGCACGTGTCACATTTTGACATTAAAAACACAATTTACAACGTAAGTAAGTACGTACAATCGTCAGTATCGTCAGTATCGTCAGTATCGTCAGTATGAATCGATATTTTGACTTTCGACCAGTTTCAACGATTCAACGTTCGTTTATTTCATTTATTTTTACTTTTTTATTCTCCTTATCGCGCAACTTTTTACCATTTAATCTGTTACCGATCGACAAATAGGTATTCGTACGATATAAAACACAGGCAATCTGTTTTACTCGTCGTACGTCGTACGTATAGACTGTTACGACACATATTTATTAATTATTTTTACAACGCGAATCAACGTACGTAACAATAATGTAACTGTAATACGAAATTGTTCACTTCCGACGAAGATACATGGTAACAGGGTTATGGGAGCAGCGTTGTATACTTTTCGTATACGTTTTAGGTAGGTTCGGTAAAAAGCACAGTTGATTGATTGCACGTTGAAAATTTAATACGCGTACACTTTGATCTAGAAAGAATACGGAGAGTATTACATACACGTGTGGAAAAGACGACAAAAAGTGCGTATGCGTATTCATTCGGAACGTTATATCACGATTGTCGAGCAACATTACAAGATTAAAAGTTATTTCTTTACTTTTGCGATAACGTAAAACGATATAAAATTATTATTACACGTAATATGGCGATAAAAGATCGTTCATCTGTGTGTGTGTGTGTGTGTGTGTGTGTGTGTGTGTGTGTGTGTGTG